GTTTCGTGAACGGCGTGTTACAAACATTTAAAGTCATTTTCAGAAAATTTCTATAAGTACGTAAAGAATTTATAAATAGTGGTACCTCCAAAAAATTAAATATACGATTCAATCCGATGGTCCCAGACCAGACCAATTTGAATATATCTATATTGAGAAAATTCTGTGAACACTTAGGGGCAAGTGTCATCCAGTGATAGACGTTTTGAGAAACAAAATGTATTCTTTATCAAGAGCTCCAAAAAGATCTTGACTGTAATATATCACTGTAAAATAATACATTAGCGACAAGAACAAGAAAAATACATTCTTTGTGGTGCCAGAAACATCTTTTTCTGTAAAAAAAAATTGGCACTTTCTTGCAGCATTAAAATTATTTATTTATACTACGTAGTTTACTATACTTTAAAAGACCTATTTTTGCTCACTACATTGACATAATTATAGTTTATTAATAATATAATGCTTGCGTACATTCGTGCGTAAAACTTACTTATACTCTTACCCGCCAGTTACTCCACTTCAGTCGGTTCAATGTTTTAAGTGAGTTATTCTTGCTCTGAATGGACTTCCCTTTTTCTGATGTTGGTCAGATCTTTGTAATGTGTTGGTGTATTCGTATCCTTTTTGTACTTTCACTTCGGATAGGGTCGAATATAAAAAGGGCCAAAAATCATTTATTCCAATACTAGTTATCAAATTACGATACTCTAACACTTCGCGAGCTTGGAATGTAAATAACTTAAAGGTTTGAGAACCGCTTGTCGAACGTACAAGCGCCGTTTTTGCGAGTGGAAACTTCCCCGGGAAGAGGACTCGGAGTAAGCTCTCGGGACGGTGGCGCCTCTCGCGGGCGACGCTCCTCCCTTCTCCTCTCCGCTCCCCCCCGCCGCAGGAAGCGCTGTTATCATCACCGTAATTAACAAGTTGCCGTCCAAGTTTGCGCCCCCACCCCCACCTCCGCTGCCTCCGGCTGAGCGCTCCGGCGCCGCGGCTTCGCACTCGCCCTCCCCTTCGCCGCTCACCTTCTGCTCAACCGCCCCGCTCTACTGCTCACCTTCTCCACTGCTTTCCCACCTCGCTGCTCACCCTTCCCACTGTTCCCCTTCACTCTACTCCCTCTCCCAATTGCCCCTTCCCCATGATGCTCACCCCTAAGAAACCCCCTCCTCTCTGCTCTCCCTCCTCACCACTCTCTCCCCCTAATACTCCGCACTTCTCCCCCTTCCTACTGCTTTCCTCACTGCGTTCCACAGCCCACTTGTCTCATCGCTTCCATAGTACTCCTGCTTCCCACTCCGCTCTCTCCCTGCGCCCCCTCCCTCTACCTCCCCCTCTCTCTGCTCTACCCTCCTCACTGCGTCTCTTCCCTGCTCTCTCTCCCCCTGAATTTTCTCTTCTCTCCTCACTGCCCTCACTCTCCCACCGCTCCTCCCTCCCCTTGTTCCCCCCTTCCAAGAACTGGCCCACTGCCCCCCCCGTGCCCAAAATTTACTCCATTTCAGTAGTTCATAGGTTAACTAAAATGTAAAAATGTTTAAATAAATTTACTGCAAGAAAACCTGTTACAGTAAATTATAACTCTTCTTTTTCAAATTTTTAATCTCTGAAGACCAAAAATTAAAATAATGTTCGATACATAATATTCGTGACTAATAGTTAAATTTTCATCCAGAGCATGTATTAACTGCTCCAGCGTGACAGAGCACACGCTGTTACGTAATTCAGCTGAGCCACCGAGGCGGCGTTGTACGATGATCTAAATCTCTAGCATCACAACGTCCGATGAAGAGCAGCAAGGAACAGAAGGTCAACGCCTTGGGGGGGATTCCCCGGGAGCGATATTGCAATCTCTCACGTGATGTTCTTCCCTTTAGCTGATTATCACATCTACCACTTCACTCTTGATTTCTATCTGCGATTGTTCGCCGCTGGTATTGGGCTTTCTGTGCTACGTCAGTGCCTGCCTGCATCACGCTTCTTTTGATAAAACATTGGTCAGTTAGCGACAACCATATTTTCTTGAACTGATGCAGATGAGTAAAGAAGGAAATGAGGCCGGCCATTCTAAGCTGCGAACGTTTCCCGTATATTCGTGAAATGATGTAACTGATGCGTCTTTATATGCATCCCAGATATAGGAATGACACTTACTGCAAAAAATATACTTTTTATCTAAACAAGTGCAGATTGAAGATAATCGTCCTCGCGGTCGCCTCTTGCGCTGCTCTTGACGCCCTTGCCGTTATGCATCTCCACGTCACCCAATGAACGAACAATACAAAGCAGTACTGCTGCACAGTACATCACTGCTTTACCTATTCCTTCAGCAGTCTGTGACTGATCACACTGCTCTATAAAAACTTTTTTCTATAACAATAAAAAACACTGTTTCTTGAAGATAATTTGCCTCTCAATACACATATTTCAAAATTTTTGTTTCGTTTTAATGTGATGATGTTTTTTTGTAATAGCGTATGTCTCCCTGTGTAAACATACCTGGAAAACTGACAACAAAAGATCCGCATCTATACAGAAAGAAATACAACATATGGGTTAAGAAAAGGGAAGAGGAGGTTTGGAATGTTTCACAGGAGGCTTGAAATGTTGGGTCATTGTGGATATTTCCTCCTCTGTCCTTTGAATGTTCGACACCATAGAATTAATCTTCATTCACTATCACTTCCTCAGGAGGTAGTGTTACCAGCAATTCTTCACTGTGACACAAACACTTTAAAGCAGATGGTAAATTAGGATATTGCACGGTTTTCTCGTTTTTTATGTAATTCCAGCTGTTTGTGTCAGACAGAAATAACAGTTGTCTGATTCGTTTGTCCTCCAAACCATGGAAACAGCAAAAGGAACGCGTCGTGAACCTTTTAATCAGTAGATCAGGCGTGTAACCCATGGACGAAAAAGTCCATTTGTTGTGCTGGACGCAACTGGCAAGACATAACGCGATTCTATCTGTTAGAGAATGACTTATCAGCCATGTTGCCAAGCCTTTTTCATTTCCTAAATGTGAATTTTCTGAATTGAGTGTGGTGTATAGGAATTCCTTGTACATATTTTGATTGTTCCTAAACAATTACATCTGTAGAGTTATTGAATGAATATGCAGCGTTTTCAAGCATTTCCATAATTAGAGAGTATCGTGAAACAAAAAAAATGAGCCCGATAGGCAAAAACTGATTTCAATTTTAAATTCAGTGTCCACGTCTTAGTTAGGAAGACAATTTTTATTCTTTGCAACAAAAATACTGTTGACCAATGTCATCAGATGTGGACAAGCAAGCACCGGTCAGGAAAATAATTGTTCCCTTGCGAGTGTGTGGACTGTAATTAATGACAATTCCCCCGTCTCTGCGGTAGGGAGAGGAAAGAGGAAGTGGGAAGAAGAGACAAAAGGGGGTGGGAGAGGCGTTTACGGCGCTATCTGAACATCGCTGATCTCCCAGCAGCCAATCGGCGCCTGAAGATTCCGACCGCTTCGCTGCAATTGCAGACTGTACTTACGTGCGTTCATAGCTGTCGTAACGGCAGCTGTTAAAGATGTGCGGTGATCGCAGTAAATAGCGCAGATAGTGAGAGTCAACACGATGGAAACGGTGGATGTGCCTCTGAAATGTCTGGCGAGATCGCAATATGTTATCTTCAGGAACATTCGGATAACAAGCCATTAACGTACGCACTTAATTGGAATTACCATTCTAGTTACTCTCCTTCGAAAGATACCGCAAACTACGGCTGCTAGGAAAGAAGAGAAATTGGGAAAATGATAGCAGTTGAATGTTGATGGCCGTTTAGAAAATGATAGAGTGAGGAAAGATGGAGTATATGGTATTACAACTATTGAAAATACAGACATGGTTATGCAAAAACGTTGACGGTCTAGAACATCAGGGTATCACAAAATAATGGTGTCTATAGACGATAATACTGGAGAGGGAATTACCAAATTATTTGAAAAAGAAATCTAATGATAGGGTAAGGAGGATGAGTGCTAGATACGTGATATGAAACGAGATGAGAGCTAGTAGACATTGGCAAAATAATGAGAATAAATTACTCAGAAAATCTGAGGTTGAGGTAGAATATTGGAATCATGTATTGGAAAATCTATATAGCAGAATAACACTAACGGGATGAGTATGCTTGATGAATTGAAAGCTATCATGACGGAATCAGGAAAGGGTGTGGATATAATAGACAAGATAGAATGATAAATATATTTGTGTAGAGAAGGTAATAGGTTGGATAAGGGATTAAGAATGATCTGAATGAAATAATATGTAACACTTTGACCAAATTGAAATTAACATTTACGAATAGAAAGGCTTGCTGTATGTACTCTCACATCCTTTTACTGTCCTAATCCCTTCATTTTCAAATATGTCTTTTTACGACCTTACCAAAACGAGAAATTTACACAGAGTAACGCGTGCGTGAAATTAGTCTTTTTCTCGTCTTCTAAAAAAGTTACGTCCCGATGGAAAACCTCTTTTTGCTAAGACGTCATGACACCTGTAAAAATGCTTTTTCGCATTTAAATGGCAAACAATTATGCTGTTTTGTTATGATATCCAGGAATATTAGAGATGAAACAAATAAATATTCACGTTAGAATTTTTATACGTTCATAGAAAAAATGTTTACATTCAGTGGCTAAAGTTTTTGCACAATCTCCTCATAACAGCCTTTCCAAAAAAACATCGATCTCACTCATGAAAAATACAATAATTTCACCTCATTATTAAAATAACTATCCTGCGGTGATCCGTTCAAGTTGGCCACGCCACGTGTTTCACTAAACTAGACCCGATCACGTCTGAGCCTCTCCCCTATCGCCGGGCAGAGTCAAGAAGCGGGCCACTTCGTTGGCCTGCAGATAAGGTCTGGGCCATGGCTTGCCAAGTGGCGCGACCACTTGAGCAGCCCTGACCCAGAGGTCCGATGTGTCATTTTGATGTGTGTGTGCGTGTTTGTGTCTGGTGCGGCAGAGCCCGTGGACATGGCGACGCTGCTGAGCGCGGCGGCGGGCAGCGTGCTGGTGCTTCTGCTGCTGGTGCTTGCTGCCGTGTGGGCCGTCCGCCGCGAGAAGTGCTGCTTCGCGCGTGAGTACACAACAATGCCCTATATAGCATCCAAAATAATTTATTCACCATATTAGAACTTTTGAGGCATAAATCTAGGGGTCGGAGATATAGGACACGATGTCCATATTTGGCCTAAATGATATTATTAGCACAATCATGTGAATTTCTTGTTCTCTACCCAAGGGTACACATCACTATGTGCTTCATCAAGAATGGGCGAATTTACAGTGCTTTTAAATAACCCGAAATCCATTAACTGGTCCAAATTAAAACATCTTTAAACTACTCTTCTGTAAAATTTGGCATAGTGACCTATTCCTGCGACCCACAGAAAGAAATTACGCAACATGAAGTTCGTTCTCGGGGAAATAGCACAGATTTCTACTATTTGCTGAAAATAAAATAAGTAAATATGTCCCAGAATAAATGTTACAAACTTCTAGAGCATGTAGGGGTGGAAGATTTGATTTTTTTATCTGCCTATATTTTTATGTATCTTTTTATGCTGCTTTATCTCTTATGATTTTATCTGCCATTTGCCCACGGCTGGCGGTCAATTTGAAATGCACTGGTGTTTGACCGTCTCAATCATGTAGCCACAGTGCTTTTGTTGATATTTTAATCATCAATACGTGATATACTGCCTAAAAATTAGAGGCAAATAACACTTATAACTTTATATGCAATTTCTTACTTTCTGTTAATCGGACAAAGTCATCATCTTCGATACCGTATATGCTCTAGAAATAGAAAAAATGTTTTAGAACTTACGTAATACCACTGCATTTTCTTAATTATTCTTCGCATTTGTGTATAATCAGCGTTGATTTACCTCTGGTTGGTGTGTAAAGGTTGCAAGTGTATTTTCGGACATAAAATCTTAATCCTAAGAAGATTATTCGATTTGTTTGATTATTTATGCTGTATCAATGATTAGAAATCATTTATTAACGACAAATATGTTTAGTTATCTACTCGGGCTAGAAGATTACTTCAAATAATCAAAGGAGGGCAAGATATGTGACTATCATGCAAAATCAAGTTTGTACTAGTTTCTAGCTTATTCCATCACAAAAATGTATAGAGATAATCCTGAATCTTTATTTTTTCAATTGAAATATATTCATTAGTGTGTTAATTTGAAACTGAGGAATGAAATCCTTTTTTTGTGTACCAGCAATATACATTACCTTTTCCATTGCAAGAACACGTCCATAAATTGGCATACGAGTGTACGGCGTATACGAGCGGAAAAACGTCTCTCCACTGCCACAGTATGGAGTTTCTCCACTGCGGCAATTTTTTCGCCATCACTTTCATGAAATATTGTGGAAGTTTCTCAGCTTGCATCCGCTATCTGGGTATAATATTTAAAATACTGAAGTAAACTTTATGATATAAACAGAGAGACGTATGAATACATCATATTTCTATGTAAATAGGATGGTGATAGAAGCATGATCTTACACTTCGTCAAAACAATTGTGGATGTTGCTTTGTTCTAGATGGCACCTGCAGCCGTCTCTGAGTAGGCAAAGCCAGTGCGTAGCAAATCGAGATATATTTGCAAGTTCTGTGAAAGGTACAGACGCAAGGTTGAATACCACTTTTCCAGTCGCTTGTCGCTTCTTCTGGAGTGGGACCCGCTCAGCACCCACGCTGTACATAACACCGTTGTAGTGCTCTTTGGTTTGGTTATATTAGTTTGTAGCTCTAAAGTATAACATTTTGGCCACATCAATAACTCTGTAAATATCTTTGCTTTATCAAAGAGTTGGTAATTTCATTAAGCATGAAGTTTCTGATATTACTGATTTTTCTGTAAACTTACAGTGGTTTAGTTGCATATTTAAATGTAGAGCTGTATTTTAATTTGGTGCTGAGACTAATGTCTTTTTTAAGTATAATCCCCGTTTTAAAAGTGTCAAAAGTAATAATTTACCTGTACTAATTGTTTGATTTTGGTGTGTATTATATCTTTTACATTTTTGATAACTCGTTATGCAACAAATTAATTTTCTATTGCCTATAAATAGGGAGTAAAGTTATCTTGTCAGAATTTTTTACTTTAAAGATTGAAAAGGAAATTAAATGTTTTGGACACGTAGGTAAAATCGAAAATGTTAGTAAAAAATGACGACTACCAAAAGTCAGGTTGGGTAGCACAGATTCCCGATGAACGGAAAAAGTAGGACGTACACATTTTTGATATGCTTTTGTAAATCATTAAAAGACATTTTTTTATTTTTTGGCGATCATTAATACCACATTTTACGAGCAGATGGTCTGTGAGTGCAGAACAGTTTCCTAATGCTACTCAAGGGACGAGGGGGGACATTTATCTGACGGGTGACGCGAGCGTGTCGAAACGTTGCGTGCGGGTACCTGGCGGGGATGGTGGGGTGAGAGAAGAGGCGCGAGTTCGGTCAGTAGGGACGAAACGAAGGGGAATTCGTGTGGAAGTGAGGACGAGGCATGGGATCGGGCCGTGAGGATGAGAAGAGGGTACGGCCCAGGGGGGCGAGGTGTGGACATGAGCTATGGATGTGGAGATTATATGAGTTGGGGCGTTAGAACGAGACGTTACGTTAAGCAAGAAGACTAGGGACTACAGTTTTGGCGCGAGCATTGAGGATAGGATGTGTGGAAGCGGAACGGAGCGTAGGAACGGATGTGCCGACGCAACATTGGGCGAGGCATGAATCCCTGATGTGAGGACCTCGACACAGGATGTGGGGCGAGAGACGTGCGGCGACGGAAAGGCCGAGAAGTGAAGCATTTCTTGTTGGGGTGAGGATGTGGCGAGGAGTCAGGGTGGAGGATGAGTGAGGACGGTGCAGAGGCAAGTGTGGACATAAGCTATACGTATGGAGCGTGAGGTTGGGGAGCGAAAGTACAGGACGTGGTGCTTAGGAAGACTACAATTGGGTCGGCGGTTTGGTCGCGAGGCTAGAGGACAGGTTTAGGCACGGGGGCGAGGCGGGAGGATGAGGGGTGGATACGGCATAGGAGCGACGTATGGGCATGGAGCATGAGTGTGATGCTTGGAGTTGAGGTGTAAGAATGGGGCGTGGTGCTTAGCAACGGGACGGGGCGATAGCCTGAGCATGGTGCTGCGGTTTGAGGTATTGAGGATGGGGGGAAGTTACACTGGCATTGAGGATGGGGTAAAGGCGGAATGGCGCGTAGGAACGGGTATGGGGACGCAATGGTGATCGAGGCGTGTGGCCCTGATGTGAGGGTATTGGCACAGGCCACGGGGTGCGGTTAAGACCAGTTGCTCCAGTCCCTCTATCCGTCACCAGTTCTCGGCCGCTGCATTTCCACATCCAGCGCCTAATGCCAGGGGTTGGCGCTGCTTCTCACTGCGATGGGGGAGTGGAGTTGCGTGGCCGAGGCCGTGAAGAGGGAGGCGGGGTGGGTCCTCGCTGCGATGAGCCCCCAATGACAGGGATTACGCGAATTACTGCGCGGATTTCGCGGCGGCTTCCGAGGCTGCGCGTCAAACTCCATTTTTCCTCCCGAGTTGAAAAGCGCCTCGCCCGCACCCCGCTTCAACAACGCCTCCAAATTATTTCTCATTTAACCTTATTATTGCTGCGAATTTTAGGACGAAGGCATTTGTTACTGGGTGGGTTAGTAGTCTTATGGAAATCAACATATATATGGCATATGTGATTTCTCAACATTATATGCAAGTGTTTCAAATTAATAGTGGTTAGAAACTAAATTATTTTTTTTAATTCGCATCCGGTCAACATGAGTTTGTTGATACAATGGCATCTCTGTTTAACCATCCCAAAATAGATTTACTTAGAAAATTTTGAAAGGAGCTGCTTGTTGAACCAACAAAGAATTACAACAATGTCTCGAAATGCAGGATTAAAATAATATATGTCATGGAGATCGTAGAGAGGGCAATTCATTTTAAAATTTCTGGAACCCTTCAGATTACAAATGTAGACTGTCGTATGGGTGGGAAGTTCTTAACAAACACAATAAAGAAATACGGGAACGATTCTCCCTCACGCTCCTGAAGAAGTTCTAGAACCACGTTCTGACAGAGTCAAAGAGATTCTCTCTGTCTGGCACACTCCTGCGTGTTGCTCACCAATCAGGGGAAAATGTCACATTTGTAACTAACTTTTTTGACATTTACCACCACAGGTGCATTGGTAAAATCGTGATCAGTTTCTACTTAGGTGCATGCCCTAGATGTTAATTATTTTACTAATAACATTTATTTACAAACACCTGCGTATTTAGATTAAATAGAAGAATAAATAAATTGTTTTTGAGAAAAATTACAGTTTTGGAGGTATGCTGTGTTTATAAGCGACAGTTTCCTTGTGATATGTTTTTAAACCCGATTTACTTGGTAATTTTTCGTCGGTACGGAAAAGTGACGAATCAGACTGGAGTAATTTGTATAAAAAAAGTGACGCACGCTTCATTTTTAGGCACGGATTTCATCCAGTTAAACAACCACGTACCTCGCGACAATTTTGTAATTTTCTCTGGTTTGCTGTGGTGCGACCAGTTCTTTTGTACGGTTCCGAGATCGTTCTAATGTGTCGAACTGTAATTTGAAGAAATTATGAAGTGGAAAATAAAACATACCGTGTTCTAATGTCGTCTAGTTCCGGGCTCTCAGTTAATATAACATAAATGAATTTGTTACCATAGATCAACGTTGATTATCATTACGTAATATAGACTCTAGCTCGTTACCATAGATGCTATGTTCAACAGTTTGTTCTTCAGCGCTTTTGCGGCTTCCAGAGGAAATACTTCTGTTTTCCTCTACCTCGCATCTCCAATCGCGCTTCCTGCCATCAATAGAAATTTTGATTCGCCCTTGTTCAGATCTTCAGGAGTGATTGCCGTTTGTTGATATGCATGCAGCAAAATAATGTACGATCAATCAAACCAAGAAACAATGTACGTTATTCTCTCAATTTCACTCTTGCCTGTTGATGGGCCAAATCAAAATTTTATCTCGTTTCAGTTTTTATTCA